TTTTTTTTTTTTTTTTTTTTTTTTTTTTTTTTGCTTTGTTTTTGGTACTGGGGATTGAACCCAGGGGCACTTAAGCACTGAACCACGTCCCCAGCCCTTTTTATCTTTTATTTAGAGACAGGGTCTTACTAAGTTGCTTGGGGCCTTGATAAGTTACTGAGGCTGGCTTCTAACTTGTGATCCTCTTGCCTCAGCCTCCCAAGTCCCTGGGATCACAAGCATGCATCACCACACCCAGACATTCTATTGCTAATGGACACTTAAACTGCTTTCACTCTGGGACGATTATGACCGGTGCTGGTAGGGACATTCTTGTACATGTATTCTGTCGTATGTAAATGCATTTAAGTGTAGTATTTATTCCAACTGAACAGCTGACTCATTGGCTAGGAATAGCTTCAACTTTAATAGATTAGGCAATATTCTTGGATACCATTGCATCAATTTATACTCCTACCAGCAAGATACGAGTTTCAGCTGATTCACAATCCTTGCCTACGCTTGGCATGGCCAGGCATTTAGCTTTTGCCAACCTAGTGGTGTGTGGTGCTATCTCGTGGTTTCAGATTTGCATTTCCCTAACTAATAATAAGGTTGAGCATCTTTTTTTAATATGTATTTACTGGCCTTTGATTTCCCCTTTGGTGAGGTCTGTGAAAGTCTGTGACCTACTTTTCTATCAGGTTGTCTTGTTCTTATTGAGTCACAGGGTGATTCATATATTCTGGATACAACTTATCTTTTTCCCATTTTCTGGCTCATATTTTCACTTACTTTATAGTGTTTTTTTTTTTCAGAACAGTTTGACATTTACAGAAAAATTAAGAATACAATACAGATATTTCCCACATACCTCACACCCAGCCTTCCCTATTATTAGCATCAGTGTGGTCCATTTGTCACAACTAATGAACCAATATTGATGTATTATTATTAACTAAAGTTCATACTTTATTCATATTTCCTTTTTTTCTGTTGGAGTAGCCCAAGCAGGACACTTCATTACATTCCATCATCATTTCTCTGTAGGCTCCTCTTGGCTGTGACAGTTTCTTAAGACTTTCCTTATCTTTGGCAACATTGACAGTTTTGAAGGGTGGTGATCAGGTGTTTTGTAGAAAGCTCCTCTACTAGAATTTGTTCCATATTTCTCTCATGGGGGAGGAAGACCACACAGGTGAAGCATCATATCATATCCAGATACATACTATCAATGTGGTTTATCACTGCTGATGTTGACCTTGATCTCCTGACTGAGGGAGTGTAGTCAGGTTTCTGCACCATAAAGCTATCCTCCTCTCCCTTCCCCACCTTTCTGTACTGCATATGATGTCTTTTGAAGAACAGAAATCCTTTTTTTTTCATATTTTTGTTGGTGCATGATCATTATATATAACGGTGGGATTTGTTGTTACATATTTGTATGCGCACACAATATAACCATATAATTTGATCAATATCATTCCCAAGAGCTGGGCATGGTGGTGCATGCCTGTAATCTCAGAGGCTTAGGAGGCTGAGGCAGGAGGATCACAAGTTCAAGGCCAGCCTCAGCAATTCAGGGAGACCCTAAGCAACTTACTGAGACCCTGACTCTGAATAAAAAATGAAAAGGGCTGGAGATGTGGCCCAGTGGTAAAACACCCTTGGGTTCAATCCTCTGTACCAAAAAAAAAAAAAAAAATGTTCCCCAGTATTTTGAAGAGCAGAAATTCTTCATTAATAATAATTATTATCATTGAGTGGGAGGCTGCATGCTCTGGGGGCAGAGCATGACCTCAGCCTCTACAGGGCTTCCAGGGGGCTGGTTTGCAGTCCAGGCCACCTCACCAAGCTCTCTCTGGGGTCACTTAGAACTCACTGCTAGAATGAACTGGGGAAGGGAACAGAATTAGGGACGCCAACAGAAATGTGTGTTCTTTCAAATCTCACATTCAGAACTTTAGTCTTGAAATTCAAGAGCCAAGAAGTTGACATCTCTGTTTTCCCTTTCTCCTCTGAGTCTTCCCCTCAGGGCAATGGCTGGCTGGCCCCTGGCCTGTGGCAGCAAGGGAAGGGGAAAAAGGTTTTTTTTTTTTTGAGCTGCCAAATAGGCCTTTTCTGCAAACACATAGGCACCTCTTAATGCCTCAAAGGAAAAGTTAACCACACAGTACCTCATCCATTGTAGCCAGGCGGGGATGGGGGCCGCTGTAATCCCAGCAACTAGTTCGGAGGATGAGGCAGGAGGATTGCAAGTTCTAAGTCAGCCCCAGCAACTTATCGAGGTGCTAAGCAACTCAGTGAGACCCTGTCTCTAAATAAATTACAAAATAAGGCTGGGGATGTGGCTCAGTGGTTAAGTGTCCCTGGGTTTAATCCCTGGGACCAAAGAACAAAAGACTAATGGGCTGGGGATGTGGCTCAAGAGGGAACGCGCTCACTTGGCATGTGCTGGGCGCTGGGTTCGATCCTCAGCACCACATAAAAATAAAATTTAAAAATGTGTCCACTGAAAACTAAAAATAAATATTAAAAAATTCTCAATCTCTCTCTCTTTAAAAAAAAAAAAAAGACTGGGGCTGGGGATGTGGCTCAAGTGGTAGCGCGCTCGCCTGGCATGCGTGCGGCCCGGGTTCGATCCTCAGCACCACATACCAACAAAGA